GGTGGAACTGAACTATAAGTCTGCCTTGGGTGTCAGAACCAGGGACAGCTCCACCTGTTGCCTTTGCTTTCCCTCCCCTTGCTTGGGCTAGGGAGAGAATGGGCATATTTGGTGATGGTGTATTTTTCTAGCCTCTGTTCTCTCTGCTACTTGCTCCCATCTTTATGCCAGAATATTACTACTGATAGTTTGTGGCATAATGTGCTATTTCTCATCTTTGAACCCTCTGCTAATGCTGCTTAATATACCATTTTTCCATCCCTCCTTTGCCTAGCTAATTGCTGCTCATCCTTGCAGGCCTTTTTAAGTAGATAGCTCCTCTAGGTAACCTACCCTGATTATCCCAGACTAGATTAGACATACCTCCTCTTAGTTCCCATGTCACCCATGTGTCTCTGTCGTTACAGTTAAAGTTACATTGAAATGATCATCTATACTGTCCAGTATAGTAGCCACTAACCACATGTGTTAAGCATTTGAAATGTGACTAGTCTGAACTGAAATGTATTATGTGTAAAATACACACTGAATTTCAGACATACATACAAAATAATGTAAGATAGTAATATTTTAAAATATTGAAGACATTGATATTTGTGTTAATTAAAATATATTATTAAAATTATTTTCATCTGTTTCTTTTTTAACTTTTTATAATGTGACTAATAGAAATTCTTTTAAAATTATGTTATTATTATTATTTTTTGAGTAGGGTCTCGCTGTCACCCAGGCTGGAGTGCAGTGGCACCATCACAGCTTACTATAGCCTCGAACTTCTGTGTTCAAGTGATCCTCTCACCTTAGCCTCCCAAGTAGCTGGGACTACAGGTGTGTACCATCACATCTGGCTAATTAAAAAAAAAAAAATTTGTAGAGACAAGGTCTCACTGTGTTGCCCAGGCTAGTCTCAAACTCTTGGGTTCAAGCAGTCCTCCTGCCTCAGCCTTCCAAAGTGCTGGGATTAGAGGTGTGAGCCACGATGCTTGGCCAAAAATTTTAAAATTACTTATGTAGCTTGTATGATACTTCTGTTGGACAGCACTAACCTATGTTTTGTCTCTTCTTAGGGGTAGGGACTGACTCGAGTCTATCCTTGTATCTTTGTATTTCTGGAGTGCAATATGTGGGAATGGGTGGGGATACCTGATTGCTCATTCTCAGAACTTGGGGGCTGGAGTAGCAAGTGTCCAATAGATATTATTTAGTTCTTCCATCTAGGAAATTGGCCTCTCTTTTTTTTTTTTTTTTTTTTTTTGAGTTGGAGTCTCACTCAGTCGCCTAGACTGGAGTGCAGTGGCTGCTCCCGGCCACCGTAGCCTCGACCTGCTGGGCTCTGGCGATCCTTCTGCCTCAGCCTTCCATGTAGCTGGAACTACAGGCGCGCACTACCACGCCCGGCTAATTTTTTTTTTTTATTGTAGAGATGAGGTCTCGCCTGCCCAGGCGGGTCTCGAACCCGCGGGCTCAGGCAGTCTACTCACCTCAGCCTTCCAAAGGCGCAGAATTACAGGGTGAGCCGCCTCTCTTCTTAACTCAGTTTTTAAAAATGTCTTCTTATTGGTTCTTGTGGATTTTTTCATATAAATCACATCTTATGAAGTTTATTTCTAATACATATTTCGAGTTGGATATTTTATCATTATAGTTTCTAATATTTATTACTGATTACCTGTGGTGAATGCTATAGATTTTTCCTAATTTTCTTGAATCTTTCCACTTAGTATATCAACTATAATACACTGATTTATTTATTCCCAGACTGCCTTTTAAATAATAAAAGAGGAAAATATAGAGGGGGATGCACATTAAATTCTTGGTGTAGAGAAGTTATATTAAGAGAGGGCTGTGGCCCATATAACAGAAACCCTTAGATGTGAGTTAGCTATGGACTGAGATTCAGAGATTGAACTGGGACAGAAAGAGCCAATAGAGTTTTGGGAACATACATCAGGAGTTACTGAAAGTTTGTCAGCATAAAAAAGCAAAATGCTAGCCGGGCTCGGTGGCTCAGCCTGTAATCCTGCGCCTTTGGGAGGCTGAGGTGAGTGGATTGCCTGAGCCCGTGTGTTCGAGACCCGCCTGGGCAGCAAGACCTCATCTCTACAATAAATAAAAAAATCAGCCGGGCATGGTAGCACATGCCTGTAATTCTGGCTACTTGGAAGGCTGAGGCGGAAGGATTGCCGGAGCCCAGCAGGTCGAGGCTGTGGTGGCCGGGAGCGGCCACTGCACTCCAGTCTGGGCGACAGAGTGAGACTCCAACTCAAAAAACAAAAAAACCCCAAAAAACAAAAAAGCAAAATACTGTCTGGATTTCCCTTTTACTCTACCAGTTTGTCTAGCCATGAGTGAAATCTCTGATGATGGGGATACTCTGCAGAAGGACCCCAAGAGGCTGGCACCAGGATTGACTCCACTAGCCACTTTGGAGATGGGTCAGAATAGTGACCAGCACCTTTCCACAAAGTTTAAGTATGAAGCTGAACAGGGGAGTCAAATTCTTCTTATGGAATGTTGAGCCCCCAGCTAAGTTATACCAGGGCAAACATCTTCCTATTTCTGAGAGTTTTTCAGTGTCATCTCTTTGACTCAGGTAACCCAAATTTACTGACCGTTCTAGGCACAGCTTGTGCCAGATATAAGGGGATACATAAATGCATCTGATACTGTCCCTGTGTTTAAAGGACTTAGAATATAGTGTGAGAGGCAGATAATGATTATAATAGCAGCTAATATTTTGCTTGTATTCTTTTAGGCACTGTTCTAACGTCTCTGTTTATATTAATTTATTTAATCTTCAAAACAGCACCATTAGGTAAGTACTGTTATCACTGCCATTTTACAGAGGAGGAAAAAAAATTTTTTTTTTGAGTTGGAGTCTCACTCTGTTGTCTAGGCTGGAGTGCAGTGGCACGCTCACAGCCACCACAGCCTTGACCTGCTGGGCTCAGGTGATCCTTCTGCCTCAACCTTCCAAGTAGCTGGAACCACAGGTGTGCACCACCACACCCAGCTAATTTTTTGATTGATTGTGGAGACCAGGACTCGCCATGTTGCCCAGGTTGGTCTCAAACCCATGGGCTCAGGCAATCCTATTGCTTCTGCCTTCCAAAGTTTATGGGCATGAGCCATCGCAGAGGAGGAAATTGAGACACAGAGAAGTTTAATAATTTGCCCAATATTACACCGCTAGTAAGTGGCAGGGCCAGGATTCATACCAAGATAATCTAGCTCTAGAGGCTTTGTTCTTAACCACTACTTTATATTGTAGAGCTCTATACTGTAGACCAGTAATTCTTCAAGTGTGATACCTAGATCAGCAGTATCACCTTCATCTGGAAACTTGTTAGTAATGCACTTTCTTGGATTCCACCCAATGTCTACTGAATCACAAACTCTGGAGCAAGGCTCAGTATTCAGTGTTTTAACAAGCCTTACTGATGGCTGCTGCTTGAACCCTTCCTGTAGAGAAGCAAGGCATGCTATGATAAGAGTAAGAAATTAATCTCCTCATCGGTAAGGACTCGGTGTGGTCTACTTATTAACTTCCCAGTCCTCTGCACAGCCTCTAGTGTAAAGCAGACATCAAAAATATGTACGAATGAATAGATATGAATGAGTATGTGGAAAAGTGGTATCTGAGCTTGGACTCTTATCTCACCTATTGCTACAGCAGAATAAATGGGAAAGAGAATGGCATTTCTCAGAAACTATGAGGCTAGCAAAGAAGTTACTGTGATACTTCTGGCAAGATATGATAAGGGTCTGCACCAGCAAGAGAAACCATCAGAATGGCAGGGAATTATTTGAGAGCAGTCCAGGAAGGTAAATATGTTAAGATGTGAACGGCTGAATGGGGGAAGGAACAAGGGGGAGGGGAACCGCCATTTCTGACATGAAGGTACCATTCATTGAACAGGAAGCACAGGGTAAGTATGTTTGTGTGGGAAAGATAAAGGATTTGGTTTGGACTCCTTAATTTCATATAGTGATAGGAAATCCTGGTGGAGCTGTCCAGCAGACACTTGGAAATATGATTCTGAGACATGGTTAAAAATAGAGATTTGGAAGGATAGTTAGGCCATATGAGTGGATGACACCTTCAAGGGAAGAGAGGAGAGCAGAATGAGAAGAGAGAGAGAGCGATTTGGAACCACTTACTTAATGGGACAAAAGAGGAAGCCCGTTTAAAAACTGAAAAGAACTTAGGCAGTAGGAAACCTCAGAAAATGCTGAGGCCAAGTAGAAGGCTCAGAAAGAAAGGAAAGACACAAGGTTAGATGTTGTGGATAAATAACTGAAAATTATCCTTTGGATTTCGGTACAAAAAGTCATTTAAGTGACGTGGTGAGGACAGAAGCAGATTGACAGAGTTCAGGCTTTAGCTGTAAATGAGAAAGTGGAGGCAGGTGCTTCCCAGCTCCGGCAGATAGAGCTCTGTAGTTGCTCTTAAGTTCAGACTGACATCTTCCAGGGTAGGCAGGGTCTCTTATGTATCTGTAGTCTCAGCGCACAGCACAAAGCCTGCAAGAGAGGGTGGCGTCAGTTCAGTGACTAGGGGCAGAGAAATTTCGCAGAAGCAGTCGCTTTGCAGTCAAGGCTTGAAGGATGAGAGTGATTGGGAGGAGAGGTGGGAGGCAGGACCCCTTGGTGACGGGGCACTGGAGTGTGAGGGGGTCTGGGAATGAAGTGGGACTCCTATAATGTGCGCGCGACTCTGTGCGGGGGCTGTGTGTAGGTTTGGAGGGAATTGTTTGGGGGAAAGACACTGGGCCAGAAGCAGCTGCGGAGGGTGTCCCTCAGCCCCGCCCCACTTACGCCACTGCGCGGTACCGAGGCGTCTCTACCGGAGCCCTCTCGCCGGGCTGCATGGCGACGGGTGACCGCCAGGGGCCGCTGCCTCCGGTCCCCGGTGCCCCCGCCCCTCTCCATTGGCCTTTGTTGCCGTCGGAGCGCCCAGCTTGACTCGTTCCCGTCCGCCCCCTGGGCCTGGCGGTCGCGCCTGCGCACTGGCAGCTGGCCGGGCGCTTGCAGGGGGAGCTGCTGCAGGCTCCGCGGCGGCGGCGGCAACGGAGGCTGCGGGGGCGGCGGCGCGAGCGGCCGGGCTTGGTGGGGGAGCCGAGCCCGGCCCGGGAGCCCGAGCAGCGAGAGTGCAGGGTACCTAGGCCCCTCACGCTGGACTCCACAGTCTCCGGGCCGCCTGACCTCCGCACGGGTATATGGGATGGAAGCGGGACCCTCGGGAGCAGGTAAGGGCCCCCGGGAAGGAGAAACCGTGCATGCTCCAAGGACCATGGGGCTTCCGAGTGAAGAGCATGGTTTCTGAGTGGGGGAAGCGCTTCTGAGTGAGGAGAAGGGCTCTCTTAGTATAGGGGGCCCAGTTTGAAGAAGGCTGTGTGCAGTTCCGGGGGAGAACCATGTGAAGAGAGAGCCCTGAGATGGGGACCGTTTGTCCAAGGAGGCTGTGCAGCCCTGCGGGTGGGAGGTAATCTGGGAGGAGAAGGGCCTGGACGTACGGAAGGACTCCTGGAAATCCGGGGAGGCCTACGGAAAGGCCTGGCAGGTGGCAGGAGACGGGCTCCAGGTGTCCAGGAGGGGAGGGGGCAACACAGATGGGCCTGGAGCTACCGCATGCCGGGGGCGGGGGCTCGGCTGGGCTGGGCTAGGCTAATATCTTTTGGGAGAAGGCGCCAGAGCTGGGCTGTGAGCTCCGCCCCAGCCGGGCCTGACGCGGGGGCGAGGGTCAGGGGGCGGTGGGTGGGGACCCAGTCCCGGGATTCCCCCCCGGGAGTCTGGGGAGTCGGAGCGGAGGCTCCAGAGCATGCGCGGAGGTGGCAGCTGGAAGGGGCTGCCCGACGTGGTGGGGGCGTGGCTGTCCGAATACCCCCACCCCTCCCCCCGCCCTGTTTGGCTTAGAAAAAGGAGTGTTAATAGGGTGCATTCTCTCTAGGGTTGTGCTAGCAGGACGCAAATAGAAATGATCCCCAAATGGGGGACCCTTGCACATAGACCTGAAGCCTACCCCCCCAGTCATAATTTGCCAAGAATGGTTTGAGGGAAACTGCCAAAGTGTCTCTCCTACGTGAAGAAAACCTGGAACCGAAGCAATGCTCTGGCGTGGGTCCTTCAGAAGATAGACCTTAGAAAAGGTGTTGGTTACTGAAGGACCAAGAACAGGACGTTGTCAACTTGGTTTGCATGTTTCAGGTCCAATATTGAGTAGAAATTGGGACTTTTAATCCAAGCACAATGACCTTTTCCATTGAATTGTCTCTTGAGGTTGCAGTCTAATCACTTTCAATACCTTAGTATTTTCAGGGCTCTATCTCCCACTGGGTATCTGTTCTTTTTCCTCTCTGTATTCCTCAGAAACTGTCCAGGGTCATGTCTTTAGAGCCAAGGTGTCCAATCTAATCTACAAACAAGTTGCAATAGGGGGGAATTTATAGCCTTCACCCTGGTGAGTCACCTTAACTTCTTATTCACAGGCAATCAAGAGAGAAGGAGATAAGAACGGGAGAAACTGAGGCAAGGCTGTCTCAAGAAGACTAGAGTACTCAGAGTGGGTTGTGGGGTGGTGGTCCCTCTTGTGTTTTAGGTGTTTTGTCCTCTGATGTGAGAAGCAGTTTGGACCCTGGAATCCTTTAGGCGGTCTTTCACCACTTACTTACATTTGGTCTGGGAATGGGAATTGAATTTCCATTTGGGACATGAACTTCATTACTTTCATGGTGGAAAAATTTTTGTCTTTTTTTTTTGAGTTGGAGTCTCATTCTGTCACCCAGGATGGAGTGTAGTGGCATGCTCATGGCCACCCCACCATCGACCGGCTGGGCTCAGGCGATCCTTCCACCTCAGCCTTCCAAGCAACCAGAACTACAGGCGCCGCTACCATACCTGGCTAAATTTTAAATTTATTGTAGAGATGAGGTCTCACCAAGTTGTCTAGGCTGTTCTTGAGCCCCTGAACTCAGGCAATCTCCTCGCCTCGACCTCCCAAAGTGCTGGGATTACAGGCTTGAGCCACCGTGCCTGGCCAATTTTTATCTTTTATACCAGACCTGACTTCCTTTACCCCTCAAGGACATGGCTACTACCACCTCACTCAAGCCATCCATTTAGTGATCTAAAAGTAGTTAGTGGCTATTTACCCCCAAATAACCTTGTAGAGATCATATAGTCCTAATAGTGCAGGGAGCAACTGACTTCAGTACAAACTACTTTATCCTTCCTTCAGGACCCTCTCTGTATCCCAGGAACTCCTGATTTTCAAGGCTGGAGACATTTCAACAACCTGTGGATTAGAGTATGTATGGGTGGGAAGTAGGTCACTGAGGTCCATATGGATTGCTGGGAACAGGTACCCATTCCATATTGGTAATGGTTTTGTCCTGATGAATTCCTAATGGGCTCTGGGGTGGCGAAAAATATGGACTTTTTTGTTACAAAAAATAAACTTTTAGGGAAGGAACTAGAGCCTGGTGTCTGGAGTTAGCCATAGCCTTGGGAAAACCCTAGTGGGACAAACGTTACCTCATCAAAGGGTGTAATTGAAATTTAGTTTGGAAGCTGTGGATGGAGGGACCCTATAACTCCCTCCTTCCCAGACCTGGACTATTCTCTTGGAAGAAGTTGGGGTGGTGTGCTGAGGTGACCTGAGGACACAATACACAAAACTAAGGCCTTGTTGTTGGCCTCACTGAGCTTATGCCCGGGTGTACTTTCTCTGCTTAGGTGTATTTCAAGCACAAGTACTGACCTGGGTGCTCGAAGAGTAGAGACAGTGTTTGATTTATCTGTGGAACTAGCAAGTGCCTAGAGTATAAGCCCTGACATGGAATACCAGTTTATTAATTGAATAAAATTATGTTCAAGTATGAACATATTTAGTTAAGCGTGTATGTGGAGATTTAGTAGTTTGTGTATATTCATGTGTGGACAAATCCTTTTTGGAGATATTGACCTCTTAGTCTTTGCATACTCACCAGCTAACATAGCCTTGAATTTGTGTCTTTTGAATAGGCAGTCTGGCTCCTTGGGAGGTATGTGGGCCTCAGAACTGCAGGGAAGGAATCCTGAGCCAGGGTTTTCAGCTCTGTTACTTTTCCTTCTCTGGGCTGGTTGAGGATAGGGAGAGGAGGAGTGTCCTTTTCAGGGCCCCTCCCTCCATGCTTTTGTCTGTTGAGAAGGGCCCCGCCCCTTTCCCCCTAGGCCCAAGCTTTGTCCTCTGTGCTGGGGCCCTCATCTGCATCACAAAGTGGCC